TGATGTGTTCTTGATACTGGCTTCATAGAATGAATTTGGAAGTGTTTCATTCCTTCCTATTTCATAGAATAATTTGAGAAGTATTGGCATTAACTCTTCTTTAAATGTCTGGTGAGCTCTGCTGAGAATCTATCTGGTCCTGGGCTTTCCTTTGTTGGAAGTGGTTTCTATTACTGTCTCCATCTCATTGCTAGTTATGGGTCTGTTTAGGTTTTCTATGTCCATTTGATTCAATATCAGCATGTCATATGTGTCTACAAATGTGCCCATTTCTTCTAGATTTTCTAATTTATTGTTTTCACACAGTCCCAAATGATCTCTGTGATGTCTTTCTGTGGTGATTTCTCCTATTTTTATCAATTTGGGTCTTCTCTTGTCTTGGTTAGTTTGTCCAGTGGTTTATCAAACTTGTTTACCTTTTCAAAGAACCAAATTCTTCATTTTATTGATCCTTTATATTTTTTATTCTCTATTTTATTGATATAAGTTCTGATCTTATTTCTTTCCTATTACTGGTTTTGTAATTTGTTTGTTTTTGTTTTTCAAGGGTACTGAGATACTTCATTATGTCATTTTTTTGGGATCTGATTTTCTTATGTGGGCCCTTATAGTTATTGAATTTTCCTCTTACAACTGACTTACTATTGTCCCAGAGGTTCTTCTATATTGTATTACTCTTCTCATTTGATTCTATTAATTTTTAATTCTTACCCGATTTCTTCTATCACCCACTCATCATTCAAAAGTGTATCATTCAATCTCCATTTGTTATAGTTTCTATAGATTTCTGTTGTTGATGATGATTCCTAACTTCATCCTATTATGATCAGATAAGATACATGGAATTGTATGTTTATTATATCTTTTTTTTGTATTTGATAAGAATTTCTTTCTGACATAAAATATATTCTATGTTGGAGAAGTTTTCATGAGCAGGTGAGAAGAAAATGAATTCATCTATCATTGAATGAAATATTTTATAGATGTCTATTAAGTCCATTTGATTTATAAATTTTTTAGTTTGTAGGAGTCTTTACTGAGTTTATGTCTGAATTATCTATTTATTGGTGAGAGAGATGTGATGAGATCACCCATTATTCTGTGCTGGGTTCTATCTAAACCTTAAATTCAAGTAGTGTATATTTTATGTAATTAGGTGCACTAACATTTGGGGCATAAATATTTACTACTGTCATATTTTCTGGTTGAATTTTATGAAGTGACTTTCTTTGTCACTTATGATTACTTTTGGTTTGAAATCTGCTTTGTCAAAAATGAGAGTAGCTACTCCTGCTTCTTTTCAGGCTCTATTTGCATGGTATATAAATTTCCATCCTTTCACTTTCAGCTTTTGGCTATCTATGCCTGTAAGGGAAGTCTCTTGCAAACAACATATACTTGGACATTGGCGGATTTATTTATTTATTTATTTATTTATGGTACCAGGGATTGAACTCAGTGGCACTTGACCACTGAAGCCACATCCCCAGCCCTTTTATGTATTTTATTTAGAGACAGGATCTCATTGAGTTGCTTAACACCTTGCTTTTGCTGAGGCTGGCTTTGAACTCACTATCCTCCTGCCTCAGCCTCCCAAGCCACTGAGATTACAGGCATGCATTACTACACCTGGCTGGATATTGTTTTTTAATCCATTCTTCTAGCTTATGTTTTTCTAATTGGAGAAACCAATTAGTAGTCATGAATTCTTTTAATTTCTGCTTATCTTGGAAAGTTTTTATTCCCTCTTTGAGTCCATACAGAGAGAACAAAAAATTAAAAAGAGAAAAAAGTCTTAATGAAAGAATTGTTTCCACTGAGGTGGTCACAACTTCAAGGAGGATGGATGGTTACGACCTTTTCTTTTTCTTCTTGGGTTATGCACCCCTTTGAGACAGTGAGGGCTGGGGGGTGTTATACCTTTTTTTTTTGCTCACCTAGCTGCTAGTTGGAATGACCTAAGACTGAAGTTGGTTGAAGTAGCTTCATGCTTCCCTCTCACCAGTATAAAGGTAGGATGGAATGGGAAGTACTGTAGATTGGAATGTTGTCTGCACAAACAAGATCAATGCATTCCCAGGTAGGGCTGTTGCAGAGTTCTATGTGTGGAATTCCAGCAGCTAGGACTTAGGTCTAATCAGGCCTGAGAGATTTTGGTGGATGGTATCTGCTCTGAAGAGATTAGAACAACACCCCCTAGGGCTGGGCAGATGCTGATCTTTGCTGAGAGTCTGGATCTCAGATGACTCCTGAAAATTCTGACCATAGGACCAGGGAGCCAACCCTCCACAAGTCTCCCTTGATCTACTGCCCACAAATACAGTCTTCTTGGGCTCTGTCCCTGAGTGCAATCATGGCTGCCTATTCAGTTTCCTGACCCTCTTCAGCTGGTCATGTTTGTCACCAGACTCAAAGTGAAAGCAAGTTGCACTCCTTTCAGTATCTCTGACTTAAATACCCCTACGTACAATAGCTGTGTCTTTTTTTTTTTTTTTTTGCTCACATTCTGCTAGGTACACCCTAGGTTCTTGCCAGGACAGTATTGCAATTATTTGCTATGATGTCACAGGCTCCAACAACAGCAAGCTGCAGCATGGTTTCCTCAAGATAGCTCACACCTCAGCTCTCCACTGCCAGCTGAGAAACAGAGCACTTTTCAAATGCCAATTTGCTGTGTAGCCTCTGGATCAGCTACATTCAGGCTGCTTTTCTGTTCTACAGGTTTTCCCCTTCCAGATTTGTCTGTTGCATTTCTCTGTTTGGGTTCTCCCTCCCCTCTGCAGTGAACGGGAGCTGCTACTGCTGTCTCAGCTGGCTTGGCTCCAGTGTACTCTTTCTTGTTCTTTGTTCAATGAACCCAACTTTCTGAGTATCTATGAGACTCTGATTGTCCAATATTGAGTTTCGGTGAATTCCCCTTTTCCCCAACCTGCTGAGGAGCAATACTCCTATTGCTTGAATTCGAGTCAAACCACTGGAAATGCAGCCTGCCATCTTGGATCCCTCTCCACTGATGCTTTTCGATGATGAGGGACGTGAGAGACTCCAGAGCTCCTGTGTTTCCTGGGAACTCATGACTTTGGCTGCTGGGGAGCCAGGGAGGAACACCAGAGTCCAAGTTGCCCTCCTCCCACTTCTACTTGGTTCTCTTGAAGCCCTCGTGCTTTGGCATGGGCTGTGCTCTGTACTTGTAGCACCATTTCTCCCCTTATCCAGGGAATTCTCATTCATCCTGCACAACTTAACCTAGTGCCTAAAGAAATGCCTGGCACCTGGAAGATACTCAAGAAATAGAAAATGAACTTAAATTTCACTTTCTTCTTCTTCTTTTTTCTGGGGGTGGGGTGGGGTGTGAAACATACTCCAATTTCCCAGCTGCTGGTGAGTGAGCACATCTCTCTTGCTCCACACCCTGCTACATGCACTTCTGCCCCAATTCTGTTCATTTTGTGAACCCCTGGAGGGCAGAAATGGCATCTTGTGTCACTTAGGATTTCCAGGCTCTTTACCATGTGGCTATAAACTGCATTCTTTTGACTAAACATGCACTATTTTGTGAAAATGCTTCTCATGGTTTTGAAATCCTTGTTTCATGCTAGAAATGCTTTATTCATTATTCCGGAACCTCACATATTTGGTGCTAGTCTCAGAGGGACCTTGCCTCTGCTCCAGTACTGAATACCTTCCCAGTGCACAGCATCTGAAGTCCCTCCGTCAGCTAGTCAGTATGTAACATTGAGAAGATGTTTAACCTGTCCCTGAGCCCTGTTTCTTCTTCTATGAAATAGGAATAATGATATCTGCCCTTCTTGCTTTGTAAGGTGGTCATGAAGATCTAATGAAATAGCATATTTGTTATTTTCAAATCTTTCTTTCTTCAAAGTGTAGCATAACAATATAAAACTACTTCCTCTTCTGAACAAGATCTTCCTTATTTTTTCAAAGGCAATCTTGAAAGTCTGGTCCTGGGCATCATATTATCTTCCACTCTAAAATACCAGGCAGGCTGTCTCTAGCCCGGCCATATCACTAACAGCTCATTCACCACCATCATCAATAATTTTGTCTTGGCCAGCACCCCTGGACACTTTCCTGCCCTTCCCTCATTTGATCTGATTCCTGTCTCCTTCTTCCTGAGATTTTCTCTGTATGAGGCCAGAGTGAGCTTCCTGAAACGAATTCTGACCATATCCTGCCACACATCAAACCCCACAATGACTCCTCATTGCCAACATGATAAAATTCAAGTTTCTGGGGAAGTAACGTCCAGCCCACCATCCCCTGGCCCCTGCTTGCCTCTTCATCAGCATCTCCAAATGTTGCTTTTCTTGTAACATACACCTCAGTCATACGAAAATGATGCCTGTTTCTAGAAAGTTCCATGCTTTCTTACATGCTGCCCAAAGACAACCTCCTACAATCTGATTGTCTTTTAAGGCTCAGTTCAAAATTTTACCTCTCTGGAAACCTTTCCTGAGCTCAACTTCCACCCTTCTTTCTTCCACGCAGAAATCAGTGCTTCCCACATCTCGATGCTCCCCACATTCTTTGAATCCACCTAAATTAGCACAATCTTCCAATTCTCTCTAGTTGCATCCTATAGTTATTTAAATATTTATTTCCTCTACCAGACAGTGAATGTGGTGGGCATAAGCAACAAGCTCTGTCTCTTTATGTTTGTCTTGTTTCTGCTACAAAGTAGGTCATTATAGAATGCTTGTTGAATAAACAAGTGAGGGGGATACATGACATTATTATTTGTAGTACATTCTTATTCCTTTACTGTATTTTGAAAACCTCTTAAAATCTTTTTGTTATATTTGGTTTCCGAAGATAGGAAAAATCTGGCCAGTGCCCTAATCTACTTAGAAGTGACTGTCCTGAGACCTGGGCTTGGCTTTCTTTGGAAGCCTCAGAAATCCCAAAGAAAGTGCCTTCCTCTAAGCTCCCCCTCAGAGGTCCCCGGAACCCATGGGATGGGCATTCAGGAGCCCACTCACCTGCCACTCCCGGCCCTGGAGGTTTCTAGCTGTTGGGAAAGGAGCCCAGCAATGGTGGCGAAGCTGTTGCTCATGCGGAAGATGTCTCTGCTCTGAGGGCCCAGGATGCCGGAGAAGGCCTCAGTGATGCGCCTGATCTCCAACAGCAGGACGTGGTGGGACGAATGCTCCGGGCTGGCCAGCTGGCTCACCAGGTACAGCAGGCAGCTCCTGGCTCTCTCCTGCCAAGAGCAATGAGGAAGGGAGCTTCTAATTTAAAAGAAAATTGGAATCTCATGGATAGCAGGTGACAATTCTACAGAAAGCCATTGGAAGGAGCTAGCTACAGCTAAATAAATTCTATTCACAGCTCCTCTGAATCAGTTTCTTGGAGATTTTACATTTCCCCTGCTAAATTCCAGGAAAAAATTCTTTTTAAAAAATAAAACTTTGCCCCAGTTGCTCTTTTCTTAAAAAAATATGCAAATATTCTTATTAGCCTCCCTCACCAGGTCAAACCTCTCAAGCTCATTAATGATCTGACCCCACACATCTACCCCTCCCAGGTGGACTGGCTATTCCACCTGCATGGAGGAGGCACTGATAGTGGTCTCAAGATGAACCTTGACCCTGGCACTCTCATCTACTCACAAGTCAGGAGTCGGCCACACACCCCTGTTGGGCAAGGTCTGCCTCCTTCCACAGTGTGTTATCACACATCTGTTTATGTAAGTGTCTTTCAGCCTCCTACAGTTCTTAAATGCTTGATTGGATGAGTAGATTATATTACCTATCTTTAACTGAGTAACTCCCACAAGTAACTGAAATAAGTTCCTTCAAAGAAATAAAGGCAATTCTAATAGCACAGATGAAAAGCAAAGCAAACAAAAATGCCAATTAGGAGACACATCTTTTCTTTTTTTATACTTTTTCTGTTTTTTTGGGGGGTACCTTAGATTGAACCCAGGGTACTTTACCACTGAGTCACATCCCCAGTCCTTTTTATTTTTAATTTTGAGACAGTCTTTTTTTTTTTTTTTTAAGAGAGAGAATTTTAATATTTATTTTTTTTAGTTATCGGCGGACACAACATCTTTGTTTGTATGTGGTGCTTAGGATCGAACCTGGGCCGCAAGCATGCCAGGCGAGTGCGCTACCGCTTGAGCCACATCCCCAGCCCAGAGACACATCTTTTCAAACTCATCAGCCAACGTGATCTGATTCCACATGACAAGAATGTAGCCAAAATAATTCAAAATTATCAAAAAGATAATTTGAAATGTAGTCTGTGTTTAACAGAAATAACAATATATCATTAATAAGTAAATAAAAATGATTCAAAGGATGGCTTATTTTTATCTTTCAGTTCACTTTTAAAACCTCAGTCTTTGTGTATATTTTTAAAATTCATAATGCTGGTGAATCAGAAAACATACATAACTATAAATAAATATATTTTGGAGGTTGAGACTCAAAATCCTTCTAATGGATGGGTGCACAGGTCTAAATCATTCTTCCATTTGGAATTTCCTTTTACCCTTTGTTCTTGCATTTAAAGTTTTAATTTCCTTCAGAGTAGACCTCCTGTCCCTCCTCCTCCCTAAGTGTCCCTAGTGACCCTTGGTGTCCATGTTCTCACTGCAGGACCTTGTTCAGTGACTGATTGCATGTGATCCCTGGCTTCCTCTTGCTTTACTCACCAGCCAGATGCTGCAGGCCTGTGACCTGCCTGGGCTGGGCGCTGGGTGAGATGGGTGAGTAAGCCGTCCTGGCCTTGAGGGGCTCAAGGTGCCTCCTTTCACCGGTAACTTGGGCTGCTGTGCCTGTCCAGTCTCCTAAAGAGACTGCTTCTCATTCAGCAGTCATCAGCCTGGCACAGAAGTGGGCCCGGAGATTCAACACCCAGTGTGTGTCTGTCTCAGTTCACTGATTTAAGCAAGCCTTGTGTGACAAAATGTGACCTTCAAAAGAAGTTTAGCAGCTGCCAAGGAATTCTGTGCTTTCCAAGAAATATTTACTGCGGGACAAATTGATTAAGTTGATTTTCAGAGATTTCATGTATGATTGCACAGGTGCACAGCTCTTGGGGAAGTGAGATATATCTGCCAGTCAATCTTTTAAAATTATTTTTTGAGCCCTGTTAGGGCACAATACCCCGTACTGGTGTGTGATACAAAGGTTTGTGCTTTCACAAGCTGGGCAGCTAGCTGAACAGAAATCTGTTTACTAAAGGACAACAGCATTAGGTAACTAAAAAATAAAGGTCCTTGGAATAAGTTCCTGACAGCCCGTTTCATACTTGAGCTCACATAGTTGTCAGGTTTTGCAGGATGATCCTTGAATGCTCCTGGGTCTAATAGATTTTTGCAAGACATATTTTTGCATACCATGTGAAGTCATGGTATGCAACACATCCCAGGGACTTTTTCTATTTTCTGTTTAAATGTAAAAGTGGGATATGGGGGTCTCTGTCATATATCAGGCCCATTCTAGAAGTTAGGAAAACAGCACTGAAGAACAAGAACAAAAAGTCCACTGTCTGAATGAAGCAGACAGAGAACAGGCTAAACACCTTTGTGAAATACAGAGCGTGCTGGCTGGAGAAGAGGTCCTCAAAGACAAGCAAAGCTGGAGGGGACACAAGGGGAGTTAGGGTTAACCAGTGTCATCAGGAACACCCAGAGAGGTGACATGGAGCCCAACAAGGTTTGAGAATTGAAGCCCAACATTCTCTGTAAGTTTGCAAAACAATTGCAAAAATCCTGCTGATACAGGGAGGTAAGAGGAGGTAGGGACACAGGAGAAGTGACATTTTATTTGCTGTTTGTCCTACTGAGAATGTGATATCACATTTCAGGTAACTTCCTCAGCTTTGGAATCAGATACTTCTTTCGTATTTTTAACAGACATTCCACCATCATTTCATTTTGTTGATTATATATATATATATATATATATATATATACATTTATATACATTGAGAGTCTTTCTCACTATAAAATCAGTAGTTCCTCCTCAAGGTGAGGGTGGCTGCTTATTTGCTTATTTGCTGAAATCAACATAATTTTGAATGATCCTCTCTGGCAGCCAAATGGAGCTGCAGGGAACATGAATCAGACTGCAGGAACAAGAAAAAAATATAACTAGGCAGGCAAGCCAACTTCATATTGTCTGTTCTGAGAGTTTGGAGCATATTCACGCCCCTCACAGGGGCAACAGGTGTGGTTTGGGATTAAAAAGTGGGGCAAGAAGGGGTTTAGGAGATTCCCATTCCTTTCCCTCCCCCAAGGCCTGTGGTATCTGGGGCCAGGGCTGCATTCTTCTGCTTTCAGTTGTCCCCAGGGGTCAGGCAGAACCTGCATGCTTTCACTGTGGCCAGACTCTCTCCCTATTGACGTACATGCCTTACTCAAAATTATTAAAATTATAACAGCTGACCCACAGAGAGCAGTGTGTCCAAGGGCCACGCTCATTCTACAAGCTTTTAAGATAGCTACTCCTGCATGCAACCCTGGTACAAAGCACTACCATCACTGCCACTTTGGAATCGGGCTCAAATAGAAAGCTAACTTGCCAGGTCACAGATTCCCTTTCTGTCTCTGAAGCTATACCCCAGCTGGCATGCCACCAGCCCTTCCCACAAACCCAAATCTACTCATGCACAAATCAGTCCACTCCTGTGTGCTATGTCTCCTTCATCATCACAGTTTTGCAGTCCTTTTTATGTATATGTGTGATTTACTTACATAAGCATCATAAATACTCTGGAAACACAAAATAGGTCAGCAGTTTTTGAGCCTTCTAGTTTCAGGACCCTTTTACCTTCTTCAAACTTATTGAAGCCTCCAAAGGGGTTATCTGGGTTATATCCATTGATACTTACCATACATGAAATTCTAATTGAAATATTAAAATAATTATCAGACAAGAAACCTAGTGCATGTTAAACACATGACATGTTTCAAGAAAAATAACATTTTTCCATACAAGAAATTAGAGCAGTGATATACCTATACATTTTTTTGCAAGTATTACAACCAAACTCAATTAGTGGTAGTTTTCTTGAAGGTTAGTTGCTATGTACAAAAAACATATTAACTTTTTTCCTCATCTTACATTAAAAGTCACTGTCTATCCTGCATTTTGTATGAATCTTTTTTGTTTTTTTTTCTGTGCATGCTTTTGTAAAATTAACCAACATTGATCACATTGGTCATTTGGCAAAATCATGGTTCACCAAGTTGGGTGTGTCTCCCAAATGTGAACGCACTTTGCTCATTGGTATCACAACTCATCTTGTCAGGAAAGTTTTTAAACACTGGGACAAACATAGCCATACAGTCAGTGCGTGGCACAGCCAAAGCATAGTCAAGTGTTTCCCTTTCTGGAGCTTAGATGACCCCTAGCAGAGTCTTGTGTGCTGTGGCCTCCTATTCTTCCTGCCTGTGTCCCGACTGATCACTGATCACCGTGCTTGTTCCCATGGAGTCTGGGGGCTCCTGCTTCCTTTCCCTGCACCACCCCCTGTGGGTGGTTCTCAGACCTGGCTGTAAGACTAAGTCGTGAACTCCCTTCCTGATCCCTGTTCAATTGCCCTGACGTGGGTGGGGTCCAGGCACAGGAATTTTTAAATCTCTCTGATAATTCTCATGTGCAGAAGGGTTGAAAACCACTAATCCAAGTAGCGTCCTAAATCTCTGAAAATTTGAGAATTTTTCATTTTAGGAAATGTGGATTTGTCCCCATAATTCATACTTTTCTCTCCTCTGTCTTCAATCAGTTTATAAAAGAGTAATAAAAAGTATTTTTAATACGTTTGGTTGCCTGAATAAAAAATGTCTTAGTTTCTGGGTCTGCTACTCTTTGTTTAAACATTTTCTTTCTTCCCTGCTCAACTCTTTGAAGTCCCCACTAATTCCAAAGAGGCAGTAGTAGGTGCGGTTAGAAGTATAAAACAAACACGTTTTCTCAGTGGGGCTTGGCCAGGGCACCTGGGCTCTGCATAGGACCTTTAGAAGCCCAGAGTGCTAACCTCCTTGAGGGTGTTTTTCCAGGAGTGTCCCTCTCCCATGATACCACCCAGAGCTGGGAGGGTGGACACTGGTCCCTCCTCTCACCACAGTTCTTCTTTGGTTGTGAGAGATGAACTCTTTCATGTAGCTGAGATTTTTCTTGATTTTAATCTTGAAAGTCCCTTGTCATGGGAACCCCATCACCATGGTTTGTGTCCCCAAAGGTCTAG